CCCCTGGGTTCCCTAGACTTCCCCACGGGACAATGAAGTTCCTTTCCCGCATTTACTACTAGCTCTGCTAAATTGCTACATCGTAATTTACAAATTGTGTGTAGAGTTTAACAGAACTTCTGAGAGCAATTAACGAGATAGTAGATCGCCCCGAGACGTGATCCTGTGAATCTTGGCATAGTCCCTGAGGTTCCAACCCCCACTGGCAGGATTCTGGCGTTGGGTACTCCATGAAGTTGGACTGCCAGCGGGATGACTGGTTGGTATTTTACCACCTTTTCCTCCCCTGCTTTTACGTGTTAGAGGAAGTAATTTACTATATATAGGGACAAGATTTATCTACTTGCCCGGTAATAAGATTTTTTGTGTGAAAAATTGGTGTTTTTTTCCGCAGCATTAGAATTCTTTCTCGAAACTGCGTAAGCAGTAGCTAGAAAGTAAAACCAAAGTTACTTTCTATTTAGACATTTTTCATAGACATTATGTACGACGTATTTTTACAGCTGCAGGTTTCGACGAAAAATCATTTCGTACATTAGAATAAAATATAATATTCTTTTTAAATTACTGCCTATTTTGTCAGAAAATCGTTAAAAGATATATATGCTGGCAATAATAATGAGAGATGACTCTATCAACTTCATATATTTATTTATAGACCCGGCTTTCGCCGGCTTTACCGTCATCATCAATCTCGCTGTGTGTGTAAAAGGGAACTGTGCCACAGAATATTCCCACAATAATAATGGATAATATAAATAATAATAATAATAATAATAATAATAATAATAATAATAATAATAATAATAATAAAGAAGTGTTGATACAGACATATATTATAATATTATAAACAATTCAATAGCGAGAGAATTACATTGTTTAAAAACATTTTCTCTGGATCGAAATATGTATCATAGTCGGTAATACAATTTTTATATTGTACAATAGAAATATAATTCTTAGTGTTGCGGGGTCCGTTAAGAAAATAAAAGATTGAATACAAACTGCTGGCTAAACTGTTTTGTTCTAGCCAGATAATAATAATAACAATAATAATAACAGTAATAATAGCAACAATAATAATGACAACAACAACAATAATAATAATAATAATAATAATAATAATAATAATAATAATTTATTTTCCCATAGAATTACATTGACCGTGTACAAGTGTTACTATTTACATAAAAAGTTTTAAACAACAAAAACCATCACCATGAAAACAATAAAACTAGAAGAAAGAATACTAATTTTGATTGATTACATTACATTCTGTTTAACCTTTTAACGAAAAATACCGTTCTTATCAAATTTAAATTTGTTTTTAAATTTAGTTTATCTTATCCAGTACACTTCAAACCCTCTCTAAGTACTTTGTGAGGGGTTTTACATTGCACGTTTGTTTGTTGTTGTTTTTTTCTTTCTTATTCTTCTTTTTCGTATTACCGTTGTTGATTACAGTTCTCCCATCATCTATGCCGTTTGTCAGTTACCGTATGATGCTTGAACCGTTTCTATTGAAATTTAGATTTTTACAAGGAAACTAAACAATCAAAAATAAATCAAAATCATCAAATTATTATCTAAAATAAAAATAAATTGTAAATAAATAAAACGGGATGGAAGTTGGCAACAGGTAACTGGCAATAATAATAATAATAATAAATAATAATTAATAATAGATAGATAGATAGATAGATAGATAGATAGATAGATAGATAGATAGATAGATAGATAGATAGATTTATTAAAGTTCGCTTTGAGCTATTGCTCGGTGGCAAACATGATAACAATTAGAATTAGAATTACTAAACATTATCAACATTTACAATTGGGTTTACTATTAGAATTAGGGGACGTTATAATAGTTCCAATTTATTTCTAGCTAACTCTAAATTCACTTCTAGTTTACATAACACTTCACTACACTACATTGCACTCCCCTTCACTACACTTCACATCACTTCACTGTATAAGGGTCATGATGATAATAATTATAACAATAATAATAATAAACGTAATAGTAATATTAATAATAATATTAACAGTAACAATAATAATAAAAGTAATAATATTACTACTAATAATAGTAATAATAATAATAATAATAATAATAATAATAATAATAATAATAATAAAGATAAATGTCTCAGTCAGTATTATTTGAGATGATCTACATGGAATGAAGCATATTTTTAAATTTGGCTACATTAGAAGGAAGAGCCTCTAGTGCTTCTGCAGGTAGTTTATTCCAATCTACTACAGTACGATTCACAAAGGAGAACTTGCCTACATCAGTTCTTTGCTTTCTACATCGTATTTTCCAAGGATAGCCTCCTCTGCTTTTATAATCTGATTTCTGTAATCTTTTACCGATATCTGCCCATGCTGTGTCCCCTCTGTATGTCTTATACATTACGCATAAACGCGCCCGTTCCCTTCTCTTAGATAAGGACTCCCATTCTTCTCGTTCGTCACCAACGCACCCGTGATTTACAAACTTTGAGGCCCGTTTTTGAATTTTATCTAACGCTTTGATTTGCCCTTTTCTGTACGGGTCCCAGCATGCCGCTCCGTATTCTAAAATTGGACGAACAAGTGTAGTGTATGCTAGGGATCGGGCATTTGGACTACTATTTTTTAGAATACGCATTACAAAATGCAGCGCTCTCCAGGATATTTTATCCGTATTGTTAATATGATCCGACCAACCTAAGTCGCTTCGCAGGACCAAACCCAAATACTTACAGTTTTTTACACATGGTGTAACGTTAGTTCCTAATTCATAACAGGAGCGTACGTTCGATCGACACTTGGTAAAGCAAATGAATTTACTCTTTTCCGGATTTAATTCCATCTTATTTCTGCACGCAGAGTTCCATAAACAGTTAAGATCGCTAATAATAATAATAATAATAATAATAATAATAATAATAATAATAATAATAATAATAATAATAATCACAACAATTATTCATAATTTTTTCTGCCGACTCTTGAGACCTGACGTGTTGTGAACGAAGAGGGTTCATTGAGCTCTAGCACGTCTCGTTTCCGAAAAATACTGCCCTACTTTTCGAAGTGTTTGGGTACGTAAAATTCTTTTATCGACTTTGGTTAGGTAATGTGAAACATTATGCTATTATAATCAGTTTCGTAATGAAGTTCTTTACCGCTCTAGTGTGGTAATGAACTTCATACCACACTAGTGCGCTAATGGCATACGAGTAGGGTTATTCTGAAACGAGCAGAATTCCATGGTCTACTCTTGAGAATAACAATAATTATTCAAATAATTTATTATGAAAATAACCTTGTTAATAATTTATCAAATAATAACAATAATAATAACATGTTTTAATTACTTATTATGTATATTAACAACAAATTTCTTGCAATTCGAAATTGTAATTTTTGATGATGTTGAAGCCTGACAATTCATCTTAGTATTTTAAATACTGTTTTTCTCCATAAATTTCATAGCTATTTGTTTCTTGTTTTCTTATGACAATTCCGCATACCCTTCTGCAACAGAAGACGACTTCCATCCACCGTGCCTCTTCAGCATATCCATATCAGAACCTGCTTTTGCTAGTAATGAAGCGGATGATCGCCGAAAACAATGTCCTATACATCTTTCAGGGTTCTGCAAACCAGGATACTTTGCTATTAGCTTCGGAATGCCTCCAATAGTATTTATTCCAACAGGTTGGCAAGTACATTTTCCATTTTTGTAAAATACAAAGAAACGATCGTGCTTGAAACTTTCAGGCCGAAGGCGAAAATATTTACGAAATGTTTCTAAACAGTTAAATTCTTTAATATTCCCTTCACTAATTACCAATTCTCTCGCAATTAAAGTCTTACTGTTTGGTATATTAATTAAAATACATGTTTATGTATCCTCTATATCACGTATTTTAAGATTCTTTAACTCATCTCTACGGCAAGCGCCGAATATACCAATTATTAAGGTCACCTTCAACAAATAATTATCATCGTCAGCTTCTATTAAAATTTATGTATGTCTTCTTTTGAAAATATCTTTAACTTTTTTGTTTTATATCCTTCACTTTTCGTTTTTAAAATGCTAACAACTGGGTAAACTTACTTATATCAATATTACCCTCAACTAATAAAGTACTCTTCAGCATAGAAAAAAGGCTACTCTGTTTTTCCTGTTCTGACTTGCCAGAAAAGTAAGCCATTAAAACTTTTTCTGATATGCAATGAACATTTTTGTTTTCACATCAATCCTTAAAATTGAGTACTCACGCTCATATTTCTTTTTTTGATTTGTGTGGTAACAATCTATAGCAGCTATTTCTATTTCTGAGTTTGAACTGCATTCGCTCATGTTGTCGAATTGTGTACACCATGCTCGTTTCAATTGTTCTCCTTGTTAACAACAGTGTCGCCACTTAAAGGGGAGAAATGTGAATACTAAGTGAACATTTTAATCTTAAATCTAACAAATGTTTACAAAGTGGATGAAACGATACTCAATTGGTTACCAAACTCGTCCTAGCGGACTCGTGTGGTAATTTTCCAATCTCGTATTGTGATCAGATGTATTACGACTCTAATATCGTAAATAACTATGAGTTGCACTCAAATAGGTTCATTAGAAACGTCTAATCCTACACAAACGTCAGTGAAAAGGTGATATTACATAGCAATTGTTTTTTTTAATCTCAAAACTAACGAACGTATCTCGAAGAAATGCTGCTTTGAAAACTAGCGTCCTAGATCGCAATACCTGGCTCTAATTAAACACAGGAAGGTTCATATATTCATAATATCAATTTGATACAAGACTTGAAGAATATGAAATAAGAGGGCCGGAACGTCGGTAGGTGAGATAACAGCTTTCGTATTTACGATCTAATCACAATAACTTTAGTGCGTTTTGATATATCATTCGAAAGCTCAGCCTACAATACTCGAACAGATGCTGAAGACATAATCGCTTTTTAATTTTTTTTAAGAAGAAAAGCATGGCGAGTGTGCTTCCTCGTGGCAGAGGAGACTGTCGGGAGCAGGGGGGCGGGGTGGAGGACGAGGACGAGGTCAAGGAATATTGTGAGCGGCGGCCGCGGCGGCGACGGCGGCAGAGTAGTAGAAGTAGGAGGTGGAGGCGGCGGCGGCGGTGGTGGTGGGGGAGAAGGAATATTGTGGGTCGGAGCAGCCTAGGCACAGGCAGTCGCCGCGAAGGAGCTCCTGACTCCCGACCTCCACGGATCCTCCACAGGCAGGCAGGCTCTCGACGCTCGCGGAGGCGCTGACGACAGGTGAAAGAGCAAGTCACGCACGCACGCACCGCTGCCCGCCCCGCGCTCTGCACTCCCCAGCGTCGTCCTTGCTTCCCCGCGCTCCCCGCAACCCCTCGCTCCACTTCGGGCCGCACCACCCGCAGCCCCGGCGCTCCCCGCCACGCTCCCCGTCTCGCTCCTCGCCTACCGCTCCGCTCCCCGCCACTGCCCTCTACACCAATGCGCTCGCGGGCCACATGGATGTTCAAATTATTATTATTATTATTATTATTATTATTATTATTATTATTATTATTATTATTATTATTATTATTATTATATTATTATTATTATTATTATTACTATTATTATTATTATTATTATTAACTGTAGAGTGTTGCTCCGGACAACTTCGTGCTTGTTAATTGTCAATGAACCTGAAGAGGTGGACATGTTTCACAACACTTAGTAATGAAGAAAATAGACTTAGGTTTCCTTCTCTCGTCCAACAACTGGGCCCCCTATAGTCACTCCTCACCTGCTTATATATATATATATATATATATATATATATATATGAACGTGCCACTTGTACCCACCGAGGTCCAGTCATATTCTGCCGGGGTCTTTTCTTGAGGGTGAGGGATCAGCGCTTTTATGTCGAATCAATTTTTACCCCACAGGGTTATTAGCCCTGGGGGGGGGGGATGAAGTATGAGATGATGATGAAGGGGGAAAGAATAATCACAATCATACAGCCACAAACACACAACCATGCCGTGTTCTTCCATCCGAGATCGACACGGCTTTACTGCCTTGGCTATCACGGCTATACAGACTGGCTATTATTATCATTATCATTATTATTTTCACTATTTTAATTCATTATTATTGTATTGATGCCTTATTTTACGTGGCGAGACTCGAGCCATTAGGCCCGCTCTTCCGGCTGACCACGCAAATTTCTCAACGCTCATTTCACCAACTTGCAGAGAAAGGAGGTATTTCTTGGGCGAGAAAAAGGCGAGTTGAATTTAGCTCAGGGGCGTCATTTAGGCTTGAGGATCTTTTACATACAAGTAAATCAACTAACATGGGACAGCCGGCTTTACTTCCCCTCCGAAGGAAGGCGTACGAAGGATTTTTTCGCCCTTAAAAATCCACGGCTTCGATCGGGGGCTTTGAACCCGCCAACTTGGCTATAAAAGTCCGATACGCTAACCGGTATTATTATTATTATTATTATTATTATTGTTGTTGTTGTTGTTGTTGTTGTTGTTGTTATTGTTGTTGTTGTTGTTGTTATTATTGTTGTTGTTATTATTATTATTGTTGTTGTTATTGTTATTATTATTATTATTGTTATTATTATTATTATTGTTGTTTTTGTTGTTATATAAGAGTGTTTGTGAGTTCTATTCGCCGTTTCTCGCACGTTACTCGCCAGCTGAGTCTTATTCTGCGAGGAATCTTCTACTCTTCTTCATCGCCATATTGATAAAGTACTCCAAGCTTTTCGCGATCTTTCTGAGTTTTTTCTCCCGGAAAGGATCCCCTTAATTTCTTTTTTTTTTTTTTTTGACGGGGGGGGATGTAGGTATTCTAAAAGAGAGCTCATTCTCATTAGGTGATCATACAATTAGAGTTGTTTATACTTATTTTATGGCGTTTAGAAATACTTGGCGAATTCACTCTTTCAGTTTATCAGAATTTTTGAATTTGTGGAATCCATCGTCTCTTTGGCGCATCCTCAGAAGAACTTCAGTGGGCAGCTTACTTGGAGGCTGCTCGACGGAGCCACGACAACCTATCCAGCGACCAACGAAAGGACTGTGAAGCATGCATTGGCTGGACGTGCGATGTAGAATGGAACCCCATCTTGCATAAAGATTAGCTCATTGAGGTTTTCCCATGTTGATACGATGCCATAAAGATCATCTTGATGCAGGAATTTACCGTCCGACGTTCACTGTGTTTTGAATGAATGAGGACGTGAGTACTGATTCCAGATGCATAATCTAATGAGGTCGTTAGTCCCGTAAGTGTAGTGCATGTTATATCCCGGTATGTTGTATCCCCCAGTGTTGCTCCCTCGCAGGAAAGTGAAATCCAGCGGTGATCTACACGTCAACTTGTGAGGTTTCCCTCCTCGTGTTTCCACCAGTCAAGCAACGCTCCAGCCGAGAAAATTTCGTAGGTTCTGAATTTTTTTCTTGGGATGTATGTTATGTTGTGCATGGAAGTGGGTTTGTGTAAAGGGAGAGGGGTCTGAAACACGTGTGTTTAGGGTGCGTGCCCGGTATTCATCTGGAATGTTACGAAGAACAATTTATTAATTATTAAATTCCGTACTAATTAAACCTTTGTTTTAAAAGTGAAAATAGATTTGCCCTGGAACCCAACTCAGAAAACATCCGACAACTTGTGCTATCCTTCAAAATTCCGCCGACAAAAAAGATCTATCTTTGTAAATTGTGGCTTAAGTAACTTAACGCGAATTCCAGAAGAGAAATGAAAACGGGTTTTTAAGGGCGCATCGTTTCCGAATTTCGTACGTCGGCAACGTGTGTTGCTGGTAATTCCTCACATCATAATCTACGAAATTACACCCATATTTCGTCTATAACCTGCTCTCCGAATGGAGAATTCCCTGTCCAGCAGTAGCACTCTTACAAGGTTTTGTGACGACGTTTATAAATCATTCAGAACCGTCATCTTTCGTCACATACAATACACATAGAAGCGTTTATTATATTACCACCTAACGCACCCCGCCTCAGAAAGTTGAGTGATTCAGTGGTGATTCCGGGCGCTTCAACTACTAAAGTCATTAGTTCCGTAAGTGTAGTGCGTGTTTTATCTCGCGCAGTTATCTTGCTCCGCTGGGTGGCGAGATGTTGTGCCTACTCGTCGGCGTGCTGTTTTTTTTTTTTTTCCTCAACCAGGTGTTTCCCACCAGCGGGGCGCCGCCACAGCCGGGACAATATCTAAGCTTCCGACTGATCTCTCGATATGTGTGGTAGTGAAGTGCATTGCTGTAAGTGTAAGTAAGGATGAGAATAGGACAAGGTATAGGGAGGAACGTTCGCGAGCGGTCCCTGGCCCGTTTGTTATGGTACTGCCCCGATAGTCGCTGGTGTTGTCTGGAGAAACCACGGAAAACTACCGATCAGAGCTGCCGGCCACTAGAATTTTCCTCCAGGCAGCGGCTGAATTCCACTTAGCTACCTAGTAACGAAAATCTTGCCATCGCCGGGACTCGAACTCTAGAATCTCCAGGTCAGAGGCACTGCAGGGACATCAGTTGATGCCCTGTGCCACCAATGCCAGTTCAGATCTTTGGCGCCAAAATAAAATTCCCAACATTATTCAGAGCGCAAAGGAGAACAATATAGGAATCAAACAATTGAAAATATTCCGTAATTTTAGAAATAATCTTCTCATTCGTATAAAACGACGAACTCAAATTTATTGGAGCAGAGAAATCGAACCCATAAAACAATTCTTGCAAATAAAGTAGACATTTTCCATCTCATTAAAAAATTGCTACACTTATACACAAGTATTATAATACTGTAATCGCTCAGCATTCAAGAAATACACAACAGAAAAATTCTCTAATATGCAGAACAGACTGAAAAATCGAGTCATTGTGGAAAGATAAAATGTGAAAACTGTTCAAATTGTTCTTTTGAGAGCAGGATTACGTATAACATATATCATTTACAAAACGTCTGGAAAGCTCCGTATAAAATGCCGTATGTATAGAATTCATATTGAATATATATTCATATGAACATGTATTCATATTGAATATATATTGAATATGTATCACCTCGTCAACAAAATGTAACAAGTTGAGATTCGAACTTGAAAGAAAACCTTCCTGCATACCTTAGAGAGATTTCATTAACAATTGAGAACCTGAGTTTTAAATTAAATTACATAAGAAATATAATAATAATAATAATAATAATAATAATAATAATAATAATAATAATATCTGCAAGATATGAAGTGTTGCAAACCATATTAACTGGCAAACAAAGGAAACGTCACCCACATTTTCCGTGGAACGTATGAAAACGACGCTGCAATAGCATGTACCATATTGATCAATTTATCGTAATTTCACAACAATTCAGTATTGACAGCATAGTCACTGACACCCAGGTGAATGAACACCATTTTTTGTAGCTGAGCCAGAAATTGTACCTACCACCAAAATACTTTATCACAGTGGCGGTGTATGGCCTTGAAGGCACCCGAAGCACTTGAGCTACGCAGATGTCGATAAATCTGTCTCCAATGTTTGACTTTATTTTGCAACATCATATTTTGCAACATATAGATATTTTCCAAAATCATGCCAACCATACAAGAAAGTCCTTGACTTTTTCGTGAAACCCATATGCAAAAAGTGACAATCCCTGTAAGTCCAAACCATTTTGAATATTCCCAACCTGTGTATGGAGGCAAGATTATAGGATCAGAGATGATGCAATTGCTGTGATGTTGCATCAGTAATTTATCTTGGATTCACATCTTCTGAGAGTAAACATACGTCAAGTTATCTATATCAATCACACAATATGCTTGACATGAGATAATACATTATTTTAGGATTGTATTCGTTTTACTCGCATCCCGGGACCCCACAACCTCATTTATATAACAGTAGCAGTTGGTTAATGAAGGTGAGGTACGAGTAGTTTAGTAGGTGAAGTACGAATAGGTGAAGGAACGAGTAGCTGAAGGTACGAGTAACTGAAGGTACGAGTTGGTGACGTTACAAGTAGGTGAAGGTACAAGTTGTCTAATGTTGGTGAAGTACGTGACGTAACGGACAGTATTTATATTGAGAAACAGGAATAAGATGCTGTCGAGATGTTTCTAAGGCTAGTGCTCTCAAATTGTGTTGTTGCAAGTGCCATTGTATCAGCTGTGTATTTCTATTTACACGGAACCATCTGAACTAACCGAATCTAATTTCATTATATCTCAGTTTGACACTTTTCTACGCATTTCCGAGCCGGGCCGGCGAGGCACCGGCCTTCGACCTTTGCGATTTACATAATACAATCTTGAAATTTTGCAATACATGGTTGTGGTTGAGTACTATTGGCAAACGGTAGTCTCCCAGTCCGTCTGCTTCAGATATTCATGGACTCAGATCGCGAGTACCGTCAGAGTAACGAAAACTACCGATCAGAGCAGCCAGCTTCTAGAATTCTCCTCCAGACAGCGCCTTAACTCGACCTAGCTATCTAAGTTTTCTAGATAGAACTCGAACCTACAACCTCCCGATCAGAGGCGATTTACATAAAACTATCTTGAGATTTTGTAATACATAATTCCCAACTCATTTTTACGACATAAATACTTCTCGCGACCCCTCACCCTGAAACTACACTCATCTACACAAGATGACTCACACTCAATCACATTTTTAGTCAGCACCCTGGCTAATGGGCCACATTAGACGAATGATGTTGGACATTATATGTTCATTGCCATTCGTACATCTTTATCCAAACTATCTGTCTAATGTGTGAATAAACCGGTTCTTTTGCGAATTAGCCTTATTTTGAACTTTTGACACATGAATTTTTAAGTAAAGCAAGAAATTTTACTTAATGCTTGTCCCCGCCTTGTGGAAAATATGAAATTTCAAGACCAAAAATGTTTCTAAATGCTGTTGTTATAATAAAATTATTTTTATTTAATAAATATAGCAAGGAATTAGTTTCATTTTTCACGTTTCTCCTAAACGAATGAATCAAATCCCGACTAGAATCTATGGGAAATCGACAAACGGTAAAGTCGGGTAGAGAACGTTGCACTTTGATCTAACCAGATTAAACGATCCTTTAACAGTACGTCATTCTCGTTTGCTAAACGTTTACTTCTTTTTTCAAGTTGACCGCACGCACCACGCGTCTATCTCGTGACCGCAAACGAGTCTAATCTAACATCGTTCCTGATAATGCTACAACGAGGTCTAGTATCTTAAACATCTCTTTACCTAAAAGCTGAGTCCTTGGCTCTGCTAATAACATCGGTGTGTAGCTTATGATGATCGTGGAGCATATCAGATGTTTTAAACATCTAAAATAGTGATGGGATAAAAGAAGATAAACATGTAAAATACACTGACATTAAATTAAAACAATCACATTTAATTTAACTGTATATTAGAAGAAAAATTATAATACTGTATAATAAATAATTTCACTGAAATGTTACTACAGACGTAGGTCAGCTGTTTATCAAGTTCCTTAACATTAAATTCGCTCTGCTAGTTTGGAAGTTATTCTGCGCCACAGAGCGACCTTCGCGTCATAATACGCGTATTGCGCAACATTTGTTTAGGTTGTGTGTCTTCCGTGTGTGAGTGTGA